GCGAACTCCTGCTGAATGCGGACTGACGCAGCAGGCCTGGGGTCTCTGAGATAGAAGCGCCGGAACGTAGACTCTTGTTTCCAGCCAACGGCGCGCATGACCTCATCAGCTGACAGGCCAGCGCCTGCAGCCGTCGACGATGCAGCGGCTCGGGTTGAATGTCCTTTGAACACCGACGTGTCAACGCCAGCGGTGGACAACACGGACACAAGCCAACGAGAAATTGTAGCAGCTGATACCGCACGGTGTGGCTTGCGGGCCGAGATGAAGAGCTGCTGAGTACCTGAGGGTCTCAAAGCCTTTGTGCGTTCCAGGTATGCTTCCAAGTGGACTACAGGGCAAACTGCTTCCACCTGATATCTGGCTACGAAGACTCTCTTCAAGCTGCCAGAGCGCTGTGTCTTAGTTAATGCCAACAATTGCAGTGAGACACCTTCCGGCGACAAACCAATGGAGTCGGCTGACAGATGCCGGAGCTCAGATGCCCTGAAGGCACCTGTTATAGCCAGTAGAAAGCACAACTTTAGGGTGTGCTGCTCCAGGGACAGATCCTTCACCGGAGGCCAAGATTGGAGAGTGCCTAGCGGGATTGCCGGGTCCCAGGTAGCCGAATAGCGAGGCGCAGGTGGACGTTGTTGATAAATGCCACGCATCAACCGGGAGACGAGCGGGTGTTGGCCGATCGCGTGGCCGTCCATCGGCTGCAGGGTACTGGACAGTGCAGAGCGGTACACTCCAATGGTCCGGTAGGACTTCCCTGCCGACACTTGGTCCGTAAGGTACTGCAGGACAGTTGCTATGCCGGAAGATGGCGAAACGGGATTAATCTCCCGTTGACGGCACCACTGACACCACAGTGACCAAGCTGAGTCGTAATGTTTCCTCGTTCCTCCACGCCAAGAAGAACTGAGGAGCGACGACACGTCTGCTGAAAGTTGTTGATGCTGCCATATACGCCCGACAGCGGCCAAGCGACTAGGCGCAGCTGTCTCGCTTCCACGAGAGGGTGAACGTCGCCCTGCTCGTTCATGAGTAGACGAGGGTGATGAGGCAGCATTATAGGTTGGTCGACACAGAGGCTCAGTAAGAGGGGAAACCATGGGGCTCCTCTCCACATCGGGGCAACTAACACACACTGAGCTACCTCCTCCCTCTGAATCTTCCTCAGGCACCTCGTCAGGAGACAAAACGGAGGAAACAGGTACGCATTCAGGTCTGACCATGTGAAGCTGAGAGCGTCGGTCCTCCACGAGTGCGGGTCTGGCTTCCAGCTCACAAATCGGGGTAGCTGGGCAGCCGTGCGTGAGGCAAACAGATCCACTTCCAGAGGAAAAGCAAGTTGGTTGGCTAGTCTCTGAAAGACTTCCCGGTGGAGTATCCACTGTGCTGCTCCCGTTTGCCGTGACCAAAAGTCGGCTTCCACATTCAATTCGCCTGGCCGGTACTCGGCTCTGATGGTGATGTCTTTCTCCAGGCACCATTGCCACAGTTGTTGGGCTTCGCTGTTCAGCTCCGGGCTGGTGGTTGATCGCATTTTGTTGATGCACCATACAGCCGCCTGGTTGTCGATTTCGATGATCACATGAGCAGACCGAAGGTCCTTCGCGAGCGATTGTAGACCAAAAAAGGCTGCACGTAGTTCCAGGCAGTTGATATGAATGTGCTTCTCCGCCACCGTCCAAAGGCCTGATGCGTGGCGATGACCACAGACTGCTCCCCAGCCGACTGTGGATGCTGCATCCGTCTGCATGACCAGGTCTGGAACTGGCAGAGGAATAGAGCGGCCGTTGACCTCCTCCAGGTGCTGAAGCCACCAAGACAGATCCTCCATTGCTGCTGCGCATAGCGGGACGGTCTCCTCCCATGGTACTTGCCGGCGTAGGGCTGATGCCCGCACTGATTCCAGGCCGCTCAAATGCAGGTTGGTGGGAAGAATCGCGGGTGCTGCAGAGGACAGCAGTCCCAGGATGCTGGCAAGTCGTCGAACCGTACTCTGTCGCTGGGCAATTAAGCTCCGGCAAGTTGTCAACGTCCGATGGACCTTGTCCGTGGGGAGTTCTAATGTCATGGCTATTGAACTGACCTGGAAGCCCAGAAACTCCACCACTTGTACCGGCTGCAGCTCTGACTTGCTGAAGTTCACCTGGAAGCCTAGGGCCAGCAACAGATGAATGAGATTGGCCACATGCTGCAACGCCTCCTGATATGATCCGGCCATGATCAGAATATCGTCCAGGTACACGACCAGACGTACACCCTGTTGGCGGAGGCAGGTGATCACCGGGTGAAGGAGCTTAGTGAACTGCCGTGGAGCAGATGCCAGGCCAAACGGGACAGCCGCAAATTGGTACTGCCGACTCTGCCACTGCACCGTCAGGAAGCGACGGAGGGTTGGATGCACTGGCATGGACAGGTATGCGTCGGTTAAGTCCACTTTCACCATAAAATCGTTCTTTATCAATAGCTCCCGCAGCGTGGCGATACCTTCCATTTTGAAATGGTGGTATTGCACAAACTGGTTCAATTCCCGCAGGTCGGCCACTGGGCGCATCTTGCCATTCTTTTTCGGTACGACAAACAGTGGACTGAGAAAGCCAGGTGTACCAGGGGGCACCTCTTCCAGGGCACCCTTCTCTTGCAGTGCCTGTACTTCCTTCGTCACCACTGCGGTCAACTCTGAGGACATCTGCCTGGGGAGTGGCTTCCGCCACTGGACTGGTTCCCGACTGAACTCCAGGCAAAACCCTTGCACATATTGCGTGACTTCTGGGTCTCCGGTCAGCTGACGCCAGCGTCTGGTCTGACCACCAATTCGGCCGCTCGGACGTCCCTGGACCTCCGAGTCGCTCACCCTCCAGTCCAAGCCCCACTCGGGTAGCTGGGTGCCTTGACATTGCAGGTCTGGTGGGAGCGCCTGCCAGCACACCTCTGGCAGGAAACGTTTCAGGCATTGTTTGGCTTCGGAGGGCCGTGCTTGTTGCCGGGCTGTTGTTGCGACCGGGGCTGCCACTGCGGCTTCTTGGGGTAATGTGGACGGTGAGGGGCATGGCTTGCGGAAGTCCACCCGTCCCTGCGGGCTCCGCTCCCTCGAAAAAACGGCTCACGGGAAGCCTCTGAAGGCTTGCGGCGTTTGGCGTTGCCGTCCCCCTGATCTTGTCCGAAGCGCGACGACCGTCTGTCTTTCCCAGCCACATGACCATGACTTGGCGGCAGCTTACGCAGTACGTCAGCCCAAGCCTTGTCTGTTTCCGCCTGCTTCGTTATCTGCTCGTTCAGGGCAGGGCCAAATAATGACTCTCCCGGGTTAGCAAACTCTGCAGTGGCCAGGCTGGAGAGCTTGGGGCGGATCTTGGATAAATAAATGGAGCGCCGTTTTATGGTGAGTGCCTGGTTAGCATCTCCCAGGAGACGCAGTTCTGCCGTAGCGGCCTCCCGGATCTGTTGACCTTGCTCACCGAGGCCAGAGTTTTGCGTGTGTTCAAGTATGTCACACAACGGACCAACCACATTCAATAATTTCGCCTGCGTCAGGTACTGAGGCCTATCGGGCCGAGCCTCCGAACGAGGCGGCTTCTTGTCAGCCCCATACACCATGCGGGCGACTTGTGCATCCAAAGCCGGGACTAGTGCTGCTGGAGTGTCAGGGCGAGGGTAGCGACGGGAAATGGCCTGCCGGGATTTGCGTCTGAGTTCTGAGCGAAGACATGACTCAAGAAACTTAGCAGTTTCGGGCGAGACATGACGGGTAAAACTGTTCTCTTCCTCATCCCCGTCCTCCGCTGGCCAGTCCGTGTTGGGACCCACACCGTCGGACACCAGGCTATGTGTGCTACCGGAGTCCAAATCATCAGCCTCCACACCCGCTAGCGTCGGACCAAGCGGCAGGTGGCATACTTGCGCCAGATCGCCTGGATCTTCAGGACCACTCGGGTCTGAGGGGAGAGGTCGTAGCCTAGGTGGCCCTCTCGAGGTCGACCGAGCAGCGAGTGGCTGCAGCGTGGGAAAATTTGTCGGGTCGCCCTCAACGGACCCACCACGCGTATGCTCAACACCGGCTCTGGAAGCCTGAGCGGGCTGACTACTGCTGGCAGTAGACCTCGCTAACGAGGAGTCAGCCGATTGGGAAGCAACCGGGATCAGGAGTGGATCAGTTTCCGGGGTACATGTCCCATCCACGATCCGCGAGTCGTGCTCTTGCCCGGACTCCAAATTTCCCACAGGCATGGACGTGTTGTGGCCTTCCAGGGATGCCAAACGCCTCTCCAGTGGGCGCAAGGCATGGTCCAGAGCCTGCTGGACTAGCGAAAAAACATCCTGAGGTGCGGAATCCATACCGAAAACTCAGACAACAGAAAACTTCAACTACACACTTCCTCGAGCAAAGAAAAAAGGTGAAGAAGAAGCTAGAGTTCCCGCGTTTGAGCTGATGGATCACGTGTGGAGCAGTTTTCCTTACGAAAATTTGTTTGTCAAATTTTAGTAAAACTGCGTTTTGAAAATGCTATCTCGAGCAAAGGAAAACCCGATTTCGGGTTGGTATACACTGTTATATCGAAGCTCGAAGCTCCGATATGCAATCCAAAACTCAGGCAAAAGAGCAGAGACTCGAGTAGATCTCTCGATCAAGAGAAGACCCACGGTGAGTAGATCTAGTACTGAGTACTGTAGCGGACATGGAAATCCAGTCGATTGACCGGGCCCGGGGCCGGCGCCCTCAGCGCGTACAGAACGCTGCTTGCAGTGCACAACGTCATGTTGTCATTGTTGAGCCGATGCGATCGCGCGCGCGACCAGCGCGCTGCAGCGCAAAATGCATGTTATTTTGTAGTTCTATCCACGGCTGCATGGCCAGCGCTCTGGGGCCGCTAGACGTGCGACCGGATTTCCATGTCCACGACACTAGTAGCAGAACACTACTCACTAGTCAACAGCAACTCACTGACGCGTCTGTAGCGATGAAAGGATGACTTGTACTATCATGACATTCATGTAGGCAGTGCAGACATGATCAAGCGACGGCTTAGAATGGGAATCAAGGTTGCAGCTGTGGTACGTTTAGCTAGCTGTTGACCCAGTGCTAAAAAGTAACACACCAGTACAGCTCGAGGAGAGGCGAGATCAATCCTGTGTGAGTTTTTGCTTCGGTCGAAGTCACAGTGAAGAGTTTTTCACGGTGTGGTGGATTCGATTGTTTGTCCGTTGGTACCCGGCATTAGTAATACTGGAGAAGTAACAGTTGTCGCAGGACGTGCAGTTGTCAGAAAAAACACTGTAACTTGCATAATAAGCTCTCTCATCGCTGATCCAACTAATTACTTGCAGCAACACGCAGATCGGCCGAAGAAGAGGAAAAAGGAATTCTCATCTGCTCCAGTTCTCTGCCCGAAGAGGCATTACCAACGCTGCGGCTACCTGGAGTTCGTCCAGGTAGGTCACTGGGCGGAAATCGTTGTTCATCAGGGTGTTGATTGTGTTGCTTGTGGCGCACCAATACGCAATAGGAAATAGTCGCGAACGAAGAGCCACATATCTACAGCAACAGCTAGTGCACAGACACTGCACGGGTGTTTGCAGTGCATGAACTCTGGCCAGTCTAGTCGTCCCCGTACGCCAAATGCGTAGATCTACGCATGATTTGGATCTGCCGTACATTTTTTTTATCGAATACAATTTTATTGAAACAAAGAAAAATGATGGCACCTATGTACAGGGGATGGTCCACGCCTGGTATAAAGTAAACGTAAAAGAGAAAAAAGTAGTACAGTGAAATCGATAACAATAGTTCAGTTCCCACACAATACCGCTCCTGAGCCGGATCAGACCACAATCCTAGCCTCGGCAACCGCCAGTGCGGCAGAAGCAAAGACAAGGCGGTGGCAGTGGATCGGTCGGCGGGCACCCCGAAGACAGGCAACACTTGCATGCAGGAGGGCGAAGCTCAGCCGGGCACCGTACATTTTCTCGTGTTTTGGGCGAATCTGAGCGGTACAACGCTGTCGAATTGGGCTTAATTTGCCCTGAACCAGCCGCTATATCGAAGTTAAATTAGGTGTTTTGAAGACCACACGGGAACACTGCGGCCAGGTCTTCTTTCCTGAGTCGTTTGTTTGAAAATCGGAGTGTTTTTGAGCTCGTAGTTTCGTCTTTGTTGTGGAATGACCGTGCGTACATTCTCCATGGAATTACCAAAGTCACACCCCGTTTCTTACATTACTAGGAGCTTTGTCGGTAGCCACGATCGTTTTTATCCCTGCTTCCATACGTCCTTTCATTGAACAGCCAAACGAAACTTTGTGGCGCGCCTTCGTTTTTTGTGGCACGGGTGTCTCAAGTTTGTCACTTCGACGTGTACACAACAACCACATCAACACCTCAAAGGACCAAAAACCAAGTGAGCAAAGTATTTCAACGTTGCGATTTCGCCTGGCCTACTGTGAAGACGGAGACTTCTACTCGGTAGCAGATACTCGTATCAATAAGCTGGGAGGGAGAGCGCGGCGAGCAAAACGTTGGGATGAAAAGAGCCACATTCTCTCTCTGAAAAGGTCGTCGTTCCCACACACTACTTGCTCTACCCAGATCTGCAGAAGGCTAGATTTTGCATGCTCGAATGTCACTTGTCCGACCACTTCGGGAATCAGGCATGTTGGATAACTGGATATGTTGGATAACTGATATCATTTTTTATGTGCATATATGACTGGATTTCACTGATTTATGTACACAATACCCAAATATATTCATACATATTTTATGGATTGCTCCATGTACACATACATGTTAGCATACTTGAACACATCTACTTCAAGTAAATGCATATAGGGCTTGAAAGTGATGACGTCAAAACGGCCAGGGAGTAGTAAGTTGACATCAGATTTCTATTTTTGGATCCACTAAGGTGTGACTTTGCTATTGCCTAAGTATGTGGGTGCATAGCAACCCACTCATGTCGCATGCAGGTGTGACTTTTATTTCGCCACCAGTTGTAACCCCGCCCCCAGTAGCCAAATCAGTCAGTTTCACTGGCTACATCACCATGCTGTGGGTAAGACCGCTTGAAATGTGCTTGGATCCATACAAAAACAGGATCCAAGTGGATCCAGTTTTTGAATTTTTGAAATTGTTGCTATGCTGTGACGTAGCACTTTCAAGCCCTATTACACCGTATAATATAAATGTACAAAAAAAATTAGAATTTTACTGTTGAGAGTCATAAAATTACCACTCCCGGGCTGCTCGGATAACCGGCGTGCTCGGATAACTGGTGACCGGATAAGTGACATTCGACTGTAACTAACTTTAGTCAAAGGCAGCTCGAAGAAGAGAAGAAGATGTCTTGTGCACTGGTGGTGGCCCTGGCTCAAACTGCAAGGATTTCCCCTTGATGAGTGGCATGTTTTGTGTCTGGAGTGCATCTTGACGCGGCCCAAGCTGTTTGAAGTGGCTTCAGTGCGCCGAATTTGACCTGGAAGAGTTCTGGCAAGAGTGGCATCCAGCTGATTGGAAAGAGAGGCAGCGCACAGTGTGAGCTCAGTGTCACCATTAGCACCATATTCAGCCGTGCTGTACCGCTTTACTACCGGTGGAGGCTTTGCCTAAGAGCTGAGAATTGTTGTGATTGCCCAGCAGCCAGTGAAATAGAATTGTGCACAGCCCAAGTCACCTGTTAGACGCATTGGAGCGTGTGTGCGTTTCCGAGCGTTTCCTTTCTGCCAGGACGTGGAACGATTCTGGGCGCACACCTGTGCAGGCTGTTATTGATACTAGACTGTGCACTTCAGCTGCGAATGAGTAGAAACAAACTACTTGCCAGGTTTGGAAAATTGATACAGTCAGACCTCGCTTAACCGCACACATCCGTTTTCCACAAAAATGTCCGGATAGACGAGGGAACCGGATAATCGAACACTGATTATGTCGGATGCATCACGCATGCTGTGTATCTGTAACCGGCTATCTTCTTCCGGATGGCGAGGGATCCGGATAAAAGAGGACCGGATAAGCGAGGTCTGACTGTATCAATTTTTCACAACACCGAAATATATTGTACATATTTCGGTTTTTAAAATTGTTTGAACCGTAGCCATAGTACCAACGAGTGCGCTGCGTCCCCCCCCCCCCCACACTCTCTCTCTCTCTGTCTCTCTCTCACGGCATGGCGAGTGCGGCAGTGTCCCGTTGTAGGCAGCACCAACAGCAGCAGCAACCAGTCAAGCCCAGGTGTCCACGGCGCTCCGCCGTTCCCAGGCCGGTCGCTGATGCTCCGCTAACGTTCACGCGTAGCTTTCACCGATCAGGTAAACCGGTCTTCCTGGCCTCCTGGGAGTGCTCTCTGTACATGATCTACTCCGTGTGCATCTTGAGATAGGAAAGCGTTCAGAGAACATGGTATTATTATTGTTATTATTATTAACTGGTTTGAGGGAAAGAGACATTTATTATTATTATTATTATTATTATTGTAAAAGAGAAAAGGACATATGGATACGAGTTAAGAGTAACTCTCCATCACTGTAACATGATACTATATACAGTCATTCGACGTCCTGACACCTAACTTCAACACATCTCCGTAGCGCTAACCGACAGCCTTCCAACTTGGAAGGCTCAAGGTTATGGAAAGACCAAAAAGGGGAAGGCAAGCGCAACGAAAACGAGCAAAAGCTACAGTCCCAACGGAACAAAGAATGTCGATTGTTACTGGACGATGACGAGACCAGTACGATATTTGACAAAGCGGTCTAACTACAATTCGAAGCAGCAAAGCAGCACACCACCCAACTTGGGTGGGTCATAAATATCAAAGATAAGTAAAGAAAGGGAGCTTCCAAGTTGGAAGGCTGTCGGTTAGCGCTACGGAGATGTGTTGAAGTTAGGTGTCAGGACGTCGAATGACTGTATTATAATATCATGTTACAGTGATGGAGAGTTACTCTTAACTCGTATCCATATGTCCTTTTCTCTTTTACATTTATTTATGGCTCAACATCCGAGTTTCAAATTATTATTATTATTATTATTTTAACTGGTTTGAGGGAAAGAGGCAAACGGGAAAAGTCTGAAGAAAAAATTGACTGTCACCACCAGGACTCGAACCAGGGACCCTCGCTTGTAGCCAGCGATGCTCTAACCACTGAGCTATGGTGCAGTCGTCATCCCAGCAGAGGCCGTTCAACATTTTCTTCAGACTTCGCAACTCACACTTCCCGTGAATCCACACAGGCGGGTGGGACGCAACCCTCACTGTAACCCTGCCCACCCAGCTTCGCGAAATCCCTTCTCGTACTCCCTTCAAATCCGAGATATCCCTGCTGTTGCACAACTCTGTATGCTCGTGTAGCGACCACCCCTGCCCGTACACTTAAGTACACAACTCTGTATTCTCGTGTGGCGACCACCCCTGCCCGTACACTTAAGTAGTCATTAACCCCTAGGCCCTGCCCACCCAATTCTTCCTCACTCTTTCTCCTTTCTTACACTATTATCTCTTATTGGCCACTGGCTATCGTGAGAATAAAGATTTGAAACCCACACATTTCACGTACAAACTAGCACGTGGGGAGCCCCAAGTCATAAAATATTAACTGGTTTGAGGGAAAGAGACAAACGGGAAAAGTCTTAAGAAAAAATTGACTGTTACCACCAGGACTCGAACCAGGGACCCTCGCTTGTAGCCAGCGATGCTCTAACCACTGAGCTATGGTGCAGTCGTCATCCCAGCAGAGGCCGTTCAACATTTTCTTCAGACTTCGCAACTCACACTTCCCGTGAATCCACACAGGCGGGTGGGACGCAGCCCTCACTGTAACCCACACACTTCACGTACAAACTAGCACGCGGGGAGCCCCAAGTCATACAATATTAACTGGTTTGAGGGAAAGAGACAAACGGGAAAAGTCTGAAGAAAAAAATGACTGTCACCACCAGGACTCGAACCAGGGATCCTCGCTTGTAGCCAGCGATGCTCTAACCACTGAGCTATGGTGCAGTCGTCATCCCAGCAGAGGCCGTTCAACATTTTCTTCAGACTTTGCAACTCACACTTCCCGTGAATCCACACAGGCGGGTGGGACGCAGCCCTCACTGTAACCCATACACTTCACGTACAAACTAGCACGCGGGGAGCCCCAAGTCATAAAATATTAACTGGTTTGAGGGAAAGAGACAAACGGGAAAAGTCTGAAGAAAAAATTGACTGTCACCACCAGGACTCGAACCAGGGACCCTCGCTTGTAGCCAGCGATGCTCTAACCACTGAGCTATGGTGCAGTCGTCATCCCAGCAGAGGTCGTTCAACATTTTCTTCAGACTTCGCAACTCACACTTCCCGTGAATCCACACAGGCGGGTGGGACGCAGCCCTCACTGTAACCCACACACTTCACGTACAAACTAGCACGCGGGGAGCCCCAAGTCATAAAATATTAACTGGTTTGAGGGAAAGAGACAAACGGGAAAAGTCTTAAGAAAAAATTGACTGTCACCACCAGGACTCGAACCAGGGACCCTCGCTTGTAGCCAGCGGTGCTCTAACCACTGAGCTATGGTGCAGTCGTCATCCCAGCAGAGGCCGTTCAACATTTTCTTCAGACTTCGCAACTCACACTTCCCGTGAATCCACACAGGCGGGTGGGACGCAGCCCTCACTGTAACCCACACACTTCACGTACAAACTAGCATTATTATTATTATTACTCAATCTGCGGACAGAACTGTTTCGTCCTTTGTGGACTCGTCAGAGCAGCACAGAGGAAATGAGGCCGAACCTGACAGCAATGGAAATAAAAATTTCCAATCAGGTCCGAACGTACCTTGCCAGAGTGCTCAAACTGACAAGTCAGTGAGCTCTGCATAACGCAAACAGCAAAGGCACTACCCCACGCAAGAGTGCTCAACTGCTACAAGAGCAGGAGCGAAATACTCACGCGAAATATTATTATTATTATTATTATTATAATTTTCTTGTCCGTCTCGGGGGACCGACGTATGTCCTGGAGTGCTCCCCGCACTCTGTGTGCATCTTGAGATAGTATAGCGTTCGAAGAACATATTATTATTCGCTCGTCCGTCTTGGGGGACCGACGTGTGTCCATGTGTCCCGGAGTGCTCCCCGTACTCTGTGTGCATCTTGAGATGTGATAGCGTTAAGAGTAAACAATATTTAAAATTGACCTCAGAGTGCAGCAGAACCTCTCGCTAAGGGTCGTCTTCGGCAAAGCTCTTGGGAAAATGTGAATGGATAGTCCTGTGTTGCTGATTTTAGTACAGTAAAACCTGTAACTAAAGACCACCGTGACTAAGGACCACCTGCCACTAAGGACCACCTGCCACTAAGGACCACCTGTCACTAAGGACCACCTGCCACTAAGGACTGCTTTCTCTGGTCCCAAGGGATGGTCGTTAGTCACAGGTTTTACTGTAGTTTCTCCTGGGTTATTTTCTTTTCCGTTTGTGTAGGCGCCGTACGAACACCGATACGGACGGTGTCGTTACTCTCCGCTGCAATGGAGGCTTCCTTAATGAGTAAGCTTTCCGAGTCGTGTCTGCATGTGTGTGTGTGTGTGTGTGTGTGTGTGTGTGTGTGTGTGTGTGTGTGTGTATGTGTGTGTGTGTGTGTGTGTGTGTGTGTGTGTGTGTGTGTGTGTGTGTGTGTGTGTGTGTCAAGGTCAGTGTCAGCCGTTGGGTGGTTCAATAGCCGATTGAGTCATCTTTCCAAGATGTCTTCTTCAAGCAAGTGCGTACATGCGTGTGTGTGCGTGGGTGTATGTGCGTGTGTGTGTGGGGGGGGGGGTGCGCGAGCGTGTGTGCATGCGTGCACGTATGTGTGTGTGTGCCTTCAATCCTGGTTTGAACATCATCCTCACCCACGTACTGAGGTGTGGCAGGCCAAAATAAGCAGGATCATTTCCAAGCCAGTTTTTAGATGTCGCTTACCAAAACTGTTAGCCACACCCAGACAGTGATTGGATTTCACTTGCCAAACTGTGTTGGCTGTATACACGCAGGGGCTGGATCTCACTTGCCAAACTGTGTAGGCTGTATACACGCAGGGGCTGGATTTTGCTTTCCTAACACCATGCTGGACACAGCAAGGGAGGCGGCGGATTTCACTTTGTACAGCTGTGCACATCGAGTTGGGTCGCTCTTCGTTCACATTCTACCTGAAGCTTTCTCTGACATTCGTGTGTGAATGCAGCTACATACTGTCAGGTCACAAGTTTCTTGGCGCCGATTTCCCCGGTAAGACTGAGCAATGGCTAACATCTACTTGTGCTGCTTCTACTTGGAAAGTGATGTAGCAATAAAACGGGGGCACGACTTATGTGTGTGTGTGTGTGTGTGTGTGGAGGGGGGGGGGGGGGGTCGAGGGCTTAGGATGGATTTGTGGGGGGGGGGGGGCCTTAGGGAATTATCCATAACAGTGTGTACCTGTTCGTCTATTGAGCTCTTAAGCTTTTGTCTCTCCCTCTCCATGTCTCCCTCCCTCTGTCTGTCTCTGTCTCTCTCTCTCTGTCTCTCTCTCTCTCTCTCTCTCTCTCTCTCTCTCTCTCT